TCTTATCACTACACTGCAGGCCAGCTTGCTTGGGTATCTCAATCTCTTAATTCTCAGCTAATAATTGAAACTTTATAGAGCCAATTTCTTGGTTAGCAAGTTCCAGGTCCTGCCTTCCAGAGGAAGCCCATTTCCCCTCTCTGACATCGGGGCAACTGGAAGAACCATATTTACATCATCCTCCCATGGCACCCTGGGCCTTCCCTTCTCCCTGTAGCTTCTCGTAGTCATCTTTCTCCTTCTTCTACAATGGGTCACATGTCTACCCAAATCTCTCCATGCAGATGTCTGCAAAATTGCAGAACTTGGTGAGGGTTCCCACAAACCGTTGTCTGGACCACAAATAGGTGTGTGTGTGTGTGTGTGTCTGGAGGCATGTGCATGTAATCCAAGGCACCATATTATAGTGGCTTAAACAGGTTTCCCTTTAAAGAGAAAGGACAGAGAGGAGAGAGAAAGACTTTCTAGTGACACAACATCCATTTTATTCCTGGTACTGAAGATTGAACCCAGAGGTGCTTTATCACTGAGTTACATCCTAGACCTGTTTTTTTTTTTTAAATCAAATTAAACAATAAGGAATAACCTGCCTGATGTCACGCCTAGCATGTGGTAAAACATTCAGCAGCCGGGGTTATTTGCACCTGTGTTCCTGCACCTGCATGTCAGATGTATTTGATTTTTAACATGGGCAGTATACACTCTGTGGTCTTGCATAAGAGCCACTAGTGGGTAGAAAGAAATACCACCACAGCCTGCACATGCCCCAGGGCATGTTGGGAGGATGCTGCTGACTGTGGCCACTGGGAGTTACCCTGGGGATGGTTGGTTGGGGGAGACTCTTATTTCTCTTGTGAGCCTGAAGAGCATGTATATCCTCCCCAGTTGCTCCATTTGCAGGGAAAGGCTTGGAGAGGCAGCTGGGATCACATCATGAGCCTCCCTTCACCCCACAGACATTAGTGTCACCCCAGGATTGGTTGGAGCCCTACGTGGCCTCCCTCCAACACTGGAGGGAGTGTTTGCTTCCCTCTCTCTCTCTCTTTCTCTCTCTCCCTGGCCCACTCTTGAAGCTGGAATCTATTCTGCAAGAGCTAAGAGCATGGGCCACTCCCAGGCCCTCAAAGTATCAGGGTAGGTAGTGTCCTGACCTGCTGCAATGAAGAAGAATGGGGTAGCTTGCTGGCCGAGGCCTGGACCTGGCAAGAACTGGGTTGGCTTGGACAGGAGCTTGATCTCACGGGCACAAAGGTGCCACGTAGACAGTGTCCTGAGCACTTCCCATAATGTGGGACACCAGGGAAGGTGGGCCACCAGATTCCTCCATCTTTGCTGTGTCTTAGGTGACCCTGAGGCCCACCCCACACCCTGACCAAACAGTTGATGGGGACATGTGGCAGCAGCCTCCAGGGCATCTTGGCATAGCCAATAAAACACACCATTGCACTTGGAGGTTTCTGTGGTCTTCCACTCTGTCCCTGGGCCACCCCCTCATGGGACTCGTGAGAAAGTGCTAAAATTTAGTCATCGGTTGGGGATCAGGGGTGGAGCAGGGTGAGGGTTGGGTATGGGTGAGGGTGAAAGGTGGGGTGAATTCCTTGCAAATGCAACTTACTCATGTTTAAAAGCTAAAAATGTAAAAAAAAAAATGCCTTGGGGGATCATGAATGTGAATGTCAGTTTGCGCCCCCCCCCACCCCAAACCTGAGCAAAGCACCTGCAGTCTCTTGAGCCCTGAGGCCTGCCCTTCGTATGCTTGCAAGTCCTCTCATCCTTGGGCTAAAGCTGCACAATCCTTCCTGCTTAGGGTTGTGTCTGTCACCCAGGAATGCAGAGGACAGCTGGACTTCTCAGGAGCTCACACACCCCTTGAGCAGAGCCTTGGAGATGCAGGGTGGTGTACCCAGGATGACCACCAGGCGGCACTGCCAGGGCACGAGGAAGCCCTGGCCAGTCCTGGCCTGGGAGTTGAGAGAGCAGATCCTGGTCACTCCCCTAGCAAATGAAGCCCTGTCGTAATTCCCGATGCGGGCCACAGACCTCCACCTGTGGGGAGGCTGCCCACAGTCAGATCTTCCTCCATTAGCATCTCTCTGCCATCATAGCTAGCCACCTCCCTGGACCTCAGCCATCTCTGAGGTCCAGTGACTGCATCAGTTCCAGGCATCTTTGGGACTCTAGTTTTTGGCAGGTCCGGAATATCATGGGGTACTCCTGCCCCACTCTGTGGACGTGAAATGAGGTGGGGACTAGAGGGAGGGTCTTTGAGGGAAGAGACACGGGGAAAGAGGGCACTTGTGACTGCTGCAGTGAGAAGACGGACAGAGGGCAGTGTCCCATTCTTGGTCACTACTAGGACGTTAAGTTCTAGATTCCTACCACCCCTCCTCCAGGCCCTCGGTCCTAGAGCATTACAGAATGCAGAGTGACCTTCTTGAACCTGGCCTTTGTGTGACTTCAACAGTTTTCCCCTTAAAGAGAGAGAGAGGACAGAGAGGAGAGAAATATCTTTCTAGTGTCACAATCTCCATTTTTTTCCCCCTGTACTGGGGATTGAACCCAGGGGCGCCTTATCACTGAGTTACATCCCAGACCTATTTATTTTTTTATTTTGAGAGAGGATCTCACTATACTGCTGAGGCTCACCTTGAACCCTAACCCTCCTGCTTCAGCCTCCTAAATTGCTGTGATCACAGACGTGTGCCACCATTCCCGATAGTATCCAGCCATTCTTGAAATATTCATTAAGCACTTACTATGTGCAGTCACCGTGCTTGATGCTGCTGGTGAAGAGATGCTCTGTTATATACTGAAAAAATATTAGTTCCTTTCTGGGTTCAACTCTGTCCCATGCTTCATGTCGGCTGCGTGACATTAAGCAATGTACTTGATCTCTCTGAGTCTCAGTTTTCTCTTTGTAAAACAGGACATCGTCACACATCTCCCAGAAATGTTGTAAGGATTCAACTAGATGATGTATGCCAGTGATTGGGCACACACACAAGTCTCAGAGTAAACTTGGTCCCCTTCCCCTTTGGAAAGACACACCCCTTGGACATATGTGCGCCTGTCCCTCATCTTGCCAAGCCCATAGAAGGCATCATCCTGACCCAGAAACCCGTGTCTTGGCAGCAGCTTCATGGTCCCCACATAGGCATTTTTAGAATTAAACCTTAAAATATATATGTATACACTTTCTGACCCCGTCTGGGTTCCATGCCAAGCCATCAGTTGAAACCACGGAGCAGCTCACAAGGTGATGCTCGCCAGGATAAATAGGCATTGGCAGCCAAAGAGGTGACACCAATACTGGACAGAGTGCAGACTGCTGGCACAGAGGCCTGCCATTTGTCCCTGTTCCTTGCCACCAACATGGAGGGCTGGATACTTGGCACTGGCCATGAGAATATGGGGTAGGGGGGCAGAGCAGATCCCCCAAACTGGGAAATGAGAGATGGCTGGGCCAGGGTGTGGAGCTTGTCCTAGAGAAGGTACCTCAAAGGCTCTGGAGAGGGTGGCACAGCATGCACCCTGCCCACCGCACGCGGCTTCCCTTGGCCAACAATCATGGCAGCCAGTTGCCAGTGACCTGAGCTCAGTCTCGAGGAAAAATACCGTTCAAGGGATTCAGAAACGTGTCCTCTGGCCACCAAAAGGAGCTGGCTCTCCAACTGATTCCGTGGGTCAGGGAGGGACAGAGGGGCAAGATGGCTCTTGCAGAGGGCTCAGGAGGCAATATGAATGGAGGGGAAGTCCCCAGAGAGACAGAATCCCCCTGTTTTCTCCGTTGTTTCACCTTCATCTGTCTCAGTCTTTGATGCTCCTGCTGCAGTCAGATCTTCCTCCAGTAGCCTTGGGAGATCATAAATGTGAATGTCAGTTTGCGCCCCCCACACCAAGGAGGCATTGGCGTGGTGGGTGGATTCCATTCAGTGACTCTAGACCCCAAAGTAACAGATAAACCACATGGAGCAGGGGCAGGTCCTCTTGGTTAGTGGCCTCGGGGCCTAGCATGGGGCATGATACCAAGCGTATGTTTGATACAGATTTGTTGGATAGGTCAATGGAATGGAGAAGGTTTTTCAGGTTCCTTAGTGCTCAGGTACTCCTCAGGCATTTGGAGTTGATATTCACCCTGGAAAGGAGAGGAGATAAATTTCTGATTGCTGTTGTAGAATCTCATCTGTGCAGGCTAGTGTCATCCTGCCTGGAAACCAAGGGTGGAACCGAATGCCCCTGATCCTTTAGGATTCTGAGGCCCCGCACATGCCACCTCCTCATTCAGGATTCCACCACTTCTGTGGGCTCTGCATTGCCTGGAACTTAGTTCCTGCTCCAGAAAATCACTGCTCCTCTCTTGCATCTCCCCTCCAGCCACCTTGCCTTTAGGACGCTCTGTGGGAACCATCTTCCTTGAACCCCACAGAGGACCTCAAATGTTCCCAGTCAAGGCCTGGGGCTCCAGTTTGCAGCTAACTGTTAGCATCTCTTCCTAACTGTGTGATGGGTGACATGTTGGTAGATTGAAATCTGGTAGGAGTAGTTACACCAGAGCAGTTGGCAAATATGACAGTCACGGAGGCACCTTCTCCAGGAGCCTGTTTAACACTTACCTGCAAATTGCTGGAGAGGGTTTTCAGGCAGATGTTCTTGCTGACCTCAACCATGGGAAACCTTGCCCATGACTTCTGCCGTGAGAAGCAGGGCCTCTCCAAAACAGAGCCAGAGACAGATCCGACCATCTAAGGGATCTGAGGGCAGTACACCAACAGAGGCCACATCTGCAGCTCCTGCCAAGGTCAGGGCTTCAGAGGGCCCAAGGGCACGTGTCCAGGGCCTTTCAGAGGACCTGCTTGGCGGGCCATCTTTAAGGAAGACAAAAAACAGGTGACTAACATGCCCAGGGAATAGGGGTACACGGTCAGTCTCCCCTTTCCTGGGCCCCTGCACTCAGGAGAAGCCCTTTCCACTCACCCAGCTCTTTCTGCTCTCTCTGCCAGACCCAGAGTCCCAGAGAAAGAGGACAGTGCAAAATGTCCTGGATCTTCGCCAGAACCTGGAAGAGACCATGTCCAGCCTGCGAGGCTCCCAGGTGACTCACAGGTAAGCTCAAACTTTAGAGGATCATGCTCTCGGTCATCCTCATCTGCTCCCCGGGGTCTGGTGGTCAGGGCTCCGGGGGTCTCCATATCTCCATTAGGTATCACAGGCCAGCCACACGGCCTGCTGTGTGGCCTGTTGTGTGCACAGTTTTCAGAGCCCCGCAGAGCTAGCCCTGCTGGGAAGGGGGTGTCCAGCATCGTGGCAGAAGCAGCTCAGCTTTGTCTTATCTCTGCTTGAGTTTGAGCCTAGATTTTGCTTAGACAAAGTAGTTTCAAAATGACTAGGTAGGGAATGGGGTGTTCAGAGAGTGGCCTGGTGCTCACTCTCCCTCCTTAGACCTCAATTTCCTCATCTGTCAAAGGGGGCTTTTTACCAAATATCCCTTGTGTTCCCCAGGTCCACCGTTCTACAATTCCAGAATCCACGCCCTCCCAACATCTGGGGCTCCTCACCCTCCCAACATTTGAGGCTCCTCCGTTAGGTGCCCTCTAGTCTCTTCCATGACCCCTGAGGGAGGCCTGAGTGCTCCATAGGATCCACACAATGTCATTCATGCCCCAGGGGTGCACCCCTGGTCCAGCCCTCAGAGAGACCTCAGTCCCTCCAGCTGTGTGGGGCATGCACCCCTCCCATCGCACCTCTCCCTGGAGCAGAGTCCTGGCTGTGGCCTCCAAGTGATTCAGATTTTCCTCTGGGCTCCTCTGGGCTGCCCAGATGAGCTCATGTTGTCAGCTCCAAGGAGGGCAGAGGGCTGGGCTAAGCTCTGGGGGTGAGGGAGGGAGAGTAGGCAGCTGAGATTGGGAAGTCCTGGAGGGTGGACCTGGAGGCTGCGTGAGGATCGGAAGCCTCCCCGATTGGCCTGGAAGAGGGTTCCTCCCCATCTCTTGGAATTGGAAAACTGACAGCAAAGTTGGGACATAGGGTCAATGGGTAAAGAGCTTTCCTTAGCCCAGTGTGTGGCCAGCCCAAGTATCCAAACGCACACTTACGTCCCCTCAGTGACAGAGAACTTTGTAAGCCTTCTAGTCCACGGTGGGTTTGCTGCGACTGTCATGGAACTGAACTTCATCCTCAGGAGCTGCCACCCACTGGCCTAGTTCTTCCGTCTTCTTTCTACTACCTTCCCCATCCCCACTCCAGTTCCCCGCTGGAAAGTTCTAGGCCTTTCCTCTCAGACATCTAAAATACTTTAAATGATAAAAGCAATCAAAGCATCCACTTTCTGGGGTTACGCTTCTGCTCAGGCCAGCAAGACTCTGACTCCTGAAAGGGAGGTGATTCTCGTGGAGACCTAGGAAAAATGTGGATGAGAGTCTCCAGGGGCACTGGGACTCAGGCCCCCTTATGTCTGTCTCCCATCACCCTCCCTCTAGCCCAGAGCTAGAACCTAAAGTGGGCTCATGAGTTTAGAAACTCAATGGGTAAAATCGTGGACATGCTCCTTCCCCTATCCTGGGAAGTTGCTGGAACATCTCTCAGCACCAAGTCACCCGCCAGCCTCATGCCAAAGAAGCTAGAAAGTGCTTAGTTGCTGAAAGGGTCACACCCCAAATGACTCACTCACAGACGAAGGGCAGAGGCAGTCACGCCAGCCTCCCTGTGCCCCAGCCTCCAGCCCCAGCTTCTGCTTCCGTATAGCTGAGGGGGGCTGAAGCCTTTGTGCAAAGCTGACTGGTTTGGCAGAGTGTTGAGGGGCCTCTGGCTCTTGTCTCCCTTTATAGGAAAGGGAACCACCAGCCTGAGGCTGGATTCTCTGATTACCATGGACCCAGAGCCACTTCCTCTCTTAGCCATTGGTTTATATTATTCCAGTTCCATACTTGGTTAGCCCAGACACCAATTCCCTGACTTTTTGTGGCTCCTTTAGTTTTTAAAGTGCTTTCCATCAGTCAGCCAGTCCCTCTGCCCTGGGGTACACAGGACTTATGTATATTTCCTGACTAGAGAAGGACCAACTGAGGCTGAAAGGGAAGGCACCTGCTGGGTGGCCCAGGCTAGGAGCAGCTGTGGGCCCATGTGGCACTGGGCATTGGCCTTCAGAGCAAATGCAGCCTCATCCCTGAGGGTCTCTGTCCAGAGGGTGCTGCCAGCAAAGTTGCTTTCAGCCAGGCACTCCCAAGGTAACTCTGGACTCTTCCAGAAACCTTTATCCCCTTGCTGCTTCCTGTGTTTCTACTGGAGAGAGTGTAGGTCAGGGGCCATGGCTGGAGAGGAAATGAAACTCTGTTCCCTGCAGAGAGGCAAGTCTGGGCTGGTTGTTGGGCTGGAAGTCAGGAACTGAGGGTCTGGGCTAGAGTGCCCCCTGCTGGCTGAGGTCTAGAGGTGTGTTTGGGGGTTACAACAGAACCATGAAAGACAGGAAGAGAGACTTACTGTGCAGAGAGCTAAACAAAAGGCAGGCCAGGAACAGAACTGAGGAACCTGGATGTCCATGCAACACCTCACCTCTGCACAAACCTCTTACCACAGTGTAAGCTAACTACCCAAGCCCACTGCCCTGGAGAACTTCCCATCCGTCAGCATGGTCACCACCATCCTCGTCCTCCTTCCCTCCCCCCAGTGGTCATGGTCAGCTTGTGTTTATTAAGCATTTACTCTGCAAGGCCCTGGGCTGAGTCTTGTGATGAGAACATCCCACTTCTTATTCAGCAGTCCTGTTGTGGGGCTGTTCCTTGTTGACCCACAGCTGGTCACCAACTACGCCCCAGGCTCATGCCAAGTGCTGAAATACAGCAGTAAGCAAGGGAGACGGTCACATCACAGCCACAGTCTCTGGCTTCAGGGAGCTTCCATTCTCTCCAAGGAGATGAGGTATCCAGGTCCACAGTAACCAGAAGCTAAAACAACACAGTGTGACATAGGACTGTAGAAAACAATGAGCCTAAGCGCTGCTGGGGATCTGGTGGGGAGAATCCAGATGTGAACAGGCCAGGAACATTCAAGAGGGTCAGATATGGCAGTCATTAATTGTCCTACCCACAGGACCCCATTCATTGTGCTGTGGTTTTTTTTTTTTAATTTTTTTATTTAGAGATAGGGTCTCTATCTTAGTGCCTCGCTATTGCTGAGGCTGGCTTTGAACTTGTGATCCTCCTGCCTCAGCTTCCAGAACCGCTGGGATTACAGGCATGTACCAATGTGCTTGCCCCCCACCCCCCTGCATTGTGCTGTTTTGAAGGGGCATTGGCTCCCTCCAGTTCTATTGAGGAAAAAAATAAAATCCTGCTGTTTTCAGGTCCAATAAAAATGATTTTAGGGGATTTTCATTTTTTTTCAAGGAACTTTTAAAAACAAGAATAGAAAATCAGTGTCCTCCTCCAATCCCAACCATGAGATCGGTGAAGAAATGGATGCATTCACCAAGCAGATTCTTTGCTTTATGTGCCCCCATAGGTTGCCTCAAACCCCATTTCATTTTCTCAATCCTGTCTTGACTTTAGCTAAGCCAAGGGAGAGAGACCCTACCTAAGGTTGCCTTGAGCTGGCACCACTGTGAGGCTGGGAATGATTCGTCTCAGTCTGAACCCAAGTCCAGGCCACCAGATCCCAATTGTATTTCCTCTCTGCAGATTCCCTAGCCCCTGAGGAGACATTCCCCGCTCCTCAAGCCCCTTGACCTCTCCAGCCTCAGGCCTCTGGTACTACCTGGGCATCACTTCCTTGACCTGGCCTTGCAGGGCCTGAGGCTTGGGACCCTGGGCATCCTGCTTCACCCCTGGCCCACTTCCCCTTTCCTCTCCTAACCAGTGGACGCTGTGTCTGTTCCCCAGGTAGGCTCTGTTTCTTCCTCTGCTGCCCTAGGCCTGCGGCTGGGCCCAGTCTTCCTGGGGACCTGCTGCATGTCTGAAGCTTTTCCTAGGCTCTTCACACGCCAGGCTTTCCTAAAAGATCTGCTGTCTGGGGACCAGCTAGTCATCAGCTCATTGATAGAAAAGAGGGGATGGCTATAACCTGTATAAAATGAATAGTCAAGACTCTGAGCTCAGGTGACTTGTCCCTCCTACTTCACCTGGAAGGTCTCATTTGGCCTCTTCTCACTGGGGGAGCACCTTCTATGTACCAAGCACTGTCAGATCTGGTCATCTGTGGTCCTCCCAACTCCACCAGCTCTTAGGCTGTTATCCCCACTGCACAGATGAGGAAATAGAGGGTTTGCACAGTTACTTTCCTTGGCACCACTGTGAGGCTGGGAATGATTCACTTGCCAATAAATGGCCAAATCCACATTACAAGCACAGGCTCTTAGGAATACGCTGGAATGCTTCACCAGCTGCTTAAACTCATTTCCCCTTGACCACCTGAGATGCCTTGTGACCAGGGTGACCCAGGGACCTCAAGGAAAAGCAAGAATCTCGCATGTGAGAGAAGGCATCACGGGGATGCAGCGAGGAGACAGGGCACAGCGCTGCGCTCACTAAAGGAGTGCCCTTTTGCTCTCTGCCCAGCTCCCTGGAGATGACCTGCTACGACAGCGATGATGCCAACCCGCGCAGCGTGTCCAGCCTCTCCAACCGCTCCTCCCCTCTGTCTTGGCGCTATGGCCAGTCCAGCCCGCGGCTGCAGGCTGGTGATGCACCTTCGGTGGGCGGGAACTGCCGGTCGGAGGGGACTCCTGCCTGGTACATGCACGGGGAGCGAGCCCACTACTCCCACACCATGCCCATGCGCAGTCCCAGCAAGCTCAGCCACATCTCCCGCCTGGAGCTGGTTGAGTCCCTGGACTCGGATGAGGTGGATCTCAAGTCCGGCTACATGAGCGACAGTGACCTCATGGGCAAGACCATGACAGAGGACGACGACATCACTACTGG